TTTTCATGTAACACCCGTGTTACCGGAACATACCTGTCTGGAACCTCTGAGGGGGAAGGAACACCTCCAGCTTTCGTATTCGGACAAGCAGGATTGGACCTCTGAGATTCCTAAACCCGAAACTCAAAATCCAATCCTAAACCCAAAACCCTAAATCCATTTTCCCCAGTGGGAAATGCGCCTCGCAGGAGGCATGAGGGTAGAGTTTTGAGCGTTGTAGAGTTTAGAAATTTGCGGCTTTAGTGTTTCTATTGATTCTGGGTATGAGGAATTGGTGGTTATGAGGCTTAGGGTTTAGGGTTTAGGAAGAATTCTCAATGGACCCTAGATTCCCCACCCTGCAGAAACCCGACCCACATTGGGGACCAATACCCAGTATAAGTCAGGGCTGAGATTTCCGGTATACCCTAAACCCTAAATCCTAAACCTAACTTGTCAATCCTGATCCTTAAACCCTAAATCCTGAACCTGCAACCATAAACCTAACTGGTCAATCCTGAACCCTAAGCCTTAAATCCTAAACCTTCATCGCTAAGGTTAACTTGTCAATCCTGAACCCTAAACCCTAAATCCTAAACCTTCAATCCTAAAGCTAACTTGTCAGGTCTAGGCCTAAGCCCTGAGCCCTTAAAGCCTAAGTCCTAAACCTAGTCCTTCAACCCTAAACCTAACTTGTCAATCCTAAACCCTGTACCCTAGAGTACCCTCGACGGGCTGACCTTGACGCTACGTGACTCCAGGTATTTCCCCTCCGCCTTCACAAGTGGAGGCCTCCCAAAAACTAAGGCTGTAGGGTTTGGGGTTCAGGGTCTAGGGAGGGTTCCCAGACCCAGGGTGCCATGTTCAAGGTCCTACTAATGCGGAATATAGTCTTTGTCTATATTGGAGTCCCCCAATTTATGGCAACTACGCTTTCAAACCTGAGCAACTTCGCGCCAACCAGTTTTAAGGTTAAACAGGGCGGATCATAATTTTGAGAACTAGAGAATATAGTCCCTTAAGTATATAGATAGAATATACAATAAGATACCCAAAGCTATATTCCATCTACTTACGGGGGACTATAAACCCTAAACCCTTAAATCCCTACACCCTTAAACCCTAAATCCCTAAACCTTGGCCCCAAACCCCCAGTCCCCCTAAACTCTCTTGGCTTTCCTCAGAGTGGTGGGATAGCGTTCGAATTCTGTGTATCAAGCTCAGGTATGGCGATATGCCCCAGTGTGGCGGAAGTGGCCCGGACCCAGTGCAAATTTTGGTTCCCGCCCCAGCTTTGGGTAGCTTCCGGTTTCGGGTTTAGGGTTTAGTGGATGAAGGAAAGTCCCCACTTGAAATACCCTCTATAATGGAGAATCAAATGGAAAAGAAAATGGAAAATGAAATGGAAACTGCGGGTTTAGGGTTTTAGGGTTTAGGAGTAGGGTTTCAGGGGGACTATATTCTCTACTCGAAGCTACAGACTTGCATCGATCCACAATAGGATGGAGATTCCAAGCTTCAAGGGTTGATGAAATAGAAGACGCTCGGCTAAACCCTAAACCCTAAACCCTAAAACCCTTGTGGCAATTGCAACCCTGGGCTCTTCCATTCGATCTTCAAGTTTTACAAGGATAGGGGCAATTACCCCTTTTCCATTTTTTCAGTGAGGCCTACCACCCTAAGCCCTAAACCCTCGACCCTAAACTCCCCAAACCTTAGGCCCTAGAGCCTAAGTCCTAAATCCCAAACCCTAGAACCCCCAAACCATTAAGTTATATCCCTCTATTATACCCCCAAGTAATCCCTGTAAAATAGTAGTTTCCATTTCATTTTCCATTACCCTTAAACATGACCTAAATCCAAAAACCTCGGTTTCCCGTGCCGGTGAACCCTAATTATCATCCTGGGGCTTGCCTTGTCAAGCAGACAAGGGTTAGGGGTTTAGGGTTTAGAGTTTAGGGTGTAAATCTCAGGGTTCAGGGTTCAAGGTTTGGGTGTAGGGTTTAGAGTTTAGGGTGTAGATCTCAGGGTTCAGGGTTCAAGGTTTGGGTGTAGGGTTGAGAGTTTAGGGTGTAGATCTTAGGGTTCAGGGTTCAAGGTTTGGGTTTAGGGTATAGAGTTTAGGGTGTAGAGCTTTGGGTTCAGGGTTTGGGTTTAGAGTTCAGGGTTTAGGGTGTAGAGCTTTGGGTTTGGGGTTTAGGGCTATATTAGCCACTGTCAGTATTAGGCTTGCCAAGAAACAATGGGTAATGGAAAAAGAGAGATTACTATAGAGTGGAATGAAATGCAAAAAAAAAGGGTAAATTAAGTGGAAACTAGATGTTACTGTCCATGTTACGCTTACCAACGGACCATTAAGGGCGGATATAAGAGGTCCCTTTCGTCGTTTCATACAGTCGTCAATACATACCCTATTAGGAACCCATGCCCATGCGTTTTATGGAAAATATTGCTTGTAACTCCCCTATATACTCACCTATATAACCCCCTTTTAAGGAGTTGAGATTGTAGCTGACACTACGAGACTGATAAAGGGATTACCTGGGTTGCTGGTAAGGATTTTAAACTAAACTACCGTAATGGGCATGTGTGTATATATATAGTAAGTAATGTGGTTTCCCCAAGATAGTATCTTAAACTAAGTTCCTTAACAGCAACCCAGTACAGGGATCATGGTGGTTATCTTGAGAGGTTATGTAGGGGCTATGGGAAGCTATAGGATCTGCAAAGTTTGATGTGATTATGACTCTGCTTTCGGAGGAGTAGAACCCCAAATCCTAAGCCCTAAACCCTCAGACCTAAACCCTAAAACCTGGCGTTTGCTGTGGGCGTTAGTTTTGGCGGGGTGTGAGCAGACGTGCATCTCTGTCGCTGAGGAGCAGGGGAATGAGTACATCCGACAGAACTTCCCCCTCTGCGACTTCGCACACCCTGCATGTTTAGCCCAGGGCGGGGTTTAGAGTTTAGGGTGTGGGGTTTAGGGTGAAGGGCTTTAGGGTCTAGGCTTCGTCCCCAGAGGGCACCCCACACATTGGGACAAAAGCTGCCGTAAAGAGGTGGACGGAATTTGCTGAGACTGTGGGGCTTGCATTTGAGGTTTAGGGCTTAGGGTTTAGGGTCTTGAGTGCTGGGGGCTTGTTGATGGGATAAGGGTTTTCTTTCATGTTGTTTCCACTACGATTTCTCAACAAAAATGAAATCCCGAATCCTAAGTCCTACCTCCTAAGCCCCAAACCCCTCAAGCCTAAAAACCAACGCCCTGAACCCTTGACCTTTGTTCATCTGAGGCAGTTACGTGCCTGATATTATCTTGTATAAACATTATGTAACTTCCCATTTTCCTCATGCACCCCTTACATACCGCTTATATACTGACCTCTTTCACCCTGTAGAAGGCATCCATAGCCTAAACCTTTAACTTAGCCTAAACCCTCAACCTTGCACCCTAACGCCTAAGCCCTGCACCGTAAACCTTAGACCCTACACCTTAAGCCCTACAACCTCAACCCTGAATCCTAGATTGCGAAGCTCCGTAGGTCGAATCCGCTCGGTGGATCCAATGAGTCGATACAACGGGGGACGGCACAGAAACCCTCTGGAGCTAGGAGTTAAGAGTTCAGGGCTTAGTGTTCCCTAGGGCTCCAAATAGCCCAATGTAGGTAGTATTTGTAGACTTTGGGACCCAATGTAGGTACTATCTATAGACATGGAGCCCCAGGGGTTTTGGATGTAAGCTCAGTTTGGGTTTTGGATGTAAGCTCAGTTTGTGGTTTGAAGGTTTAGGAGTTAGGGTTTCAGGTTTGCAGCTGGGGTTTTGGCATTTAGGACCTGAGGCTTGGGGCTAAGGGGCTTATGCTTTAGGATTTGGGGTTTGGGTGGTTCTGTTATCAGGTTTTTAAGTGATCTTTTGGAGAAAGTGAAGCTGCTGCATCACAAGAACCCTCAGAAAATACACTGCAGGCCTTGTAGTTCTCAGGCTCAGGCTACTGAAGGATGGACGATGTTACCTTAAACCTAAACATTATACCCGAAACCAGGGGTCAGCCAGGATGAAAAGAGTCAACCCTAAACCCTTCAAAGCACCCTGTCTCCTCCCTACCAGGATCGGCTATAGGACCTTAAAGGCCTCTCGAATTAAGGGTCCTAGGAATAGGGAATTCTAGGGTCGAATAGCCCATGCTTGTGAACCTCCTCCCAAACTTGGGAAAATGCACCTTGCTTAGCGTGCAGGGTTCAGGGTTAAGGGTTCAGGGTTTAGGGTTTAAGGTTTAAGGGTTTAGGGTTTAGGGTGTCGGGATGTCTGCACCGTACCCTGGCCTGCAAGCGACGGTTGGAAGCCCAACCGCACGAATTCAACCACCAGCCTAGAGCGCCAATAGCATTGCCGTCAGAGCAAACAATCGACATCCCTTGGGGTTTACTGTGCAGGGTTCAGGGGCTTAGGAGAAAGGGTTTAGGGTTCAGGGGCTTAGTGTTTAGGGTTTAGGGTTCGGCGTTCAAGGTATTTCAAACAATCACTTCCCCCACTATTATTACACACACCCGTACCACCGAATGTCCTTGTAGTTAGCATTCCCTATAGTAGCCAGGCAAAACACTAAAACAGGGGCAGAGAGGATAGACAAGTTTTCAAACATTGGGTAGGTGTCCATCTTTGTTGTTGTTGTTGTTGTTGTTGTGGTGGTGGTGGTGGTGGTGGTGGTGGTTGTGGTTGTGGTTGTCGTTGTCGTTGTCGTTGTCGTTGTCGTTGTCGTTGTCGTTCTTGTTGCTGTTGCTGTTGCTGTTGCTGTTGCTGTTGCTGTTGCTGCTGCTGCTGCTGCTGCTGCTGCTGCTGCTGCTGCTTGCTGCTGCTGCTGCTGGTGGTGTTGTTGTTGTTGGTGGTGGTGTTGTTGGTGGTGTTGTTGTTGGTGGTGGTGGTGGTGGCGGCGGCGGTGGTGGTGGTGGTCGTGGTGAAGACTGCAGTAGGTTCCTAAGTAGTAGTGGTGGACAGTGTTGTGAAGTGCCGTCACGGGCCCCTTCAGGAGATCAAAGGCGTCCTCCAGTCGGCTGTGGAGAATGGCCATGGGGAGGCTGGTCCCAAAGGCCTAGTGGACGTAACCCCGTGACTCACATTGAGCTTAGGGTAGTTTAGGGATAATTATTACCTCCCAATAATGGAGAATCAAATGGAAAAGTCAATAGAACATGACGTGGAATCTGAGGTTAGATTGAAGTACAAAAGAGGATGGAGTAATTGCAAGGTGATGGGGCTTGCAGGTAGACTTTCCAGCGCAGTTCGCATTGAAAAACCATTAACCCTTAACCAGAGCTTTGAGTAGGCTATGTCTCATTGTGCTAGAAGTCCACCGCTGTCCATTCACGCTGTCGTAGGGATTTGTTTTGCTGGATTTTGCAGACAGAACGTTGGTTCAGCCGGGCGTCCCTGAAAGGTCCCACAACCCACTAACAGCATGTGCTGGTTGGTGCATAGCAGCCCAGCCCCCTGAACCCTAAGCCGCAGGTCCTTCATGGCTGGGGTCTTTTCATCATGAAGTTGTCAGTTCCTCTTGAGAGTGGGACTCACAAAAGGTACCCCTTTGTTGGGGAACCCCCACCCCCATATGAGCTGTAGTCTACACTCCTAGTATCCCTCATAATATTTTCAAACAGATACTCCCTCTTTTTAATCCCAAACATAACCCCCCGTTAAGGAGGTTGGACCATAAACCCTAAACTCCAAACCGCCCCCTTTAAGGAGTTTAGGCGATAGCTGACATGTTTCCAGTGCTTGGAAGGCGGGAACTCGTATTTCATCCCCCCAGCCTCTTTTTTGTAAAAACCATGCGGTTCGGGATCTAGGGTTTAGGGTTCAGGGTTCTGGGTTTAGGTTTCAAGGTTTAGGGTTTAGGGTTCAGGGTTTAGGGTTCTGGGTTCAGGGTTGTGGGTTTAGGTTTCAGGGTTTAGGATTCAGGGTTGAGGTTTCAGGGTTCAGGGTTCTGGGTTCAGGGTTTAGGGTTCTGGGTTCTGGGTTTAGGTTTCAGGATTCTGGGGGCCGGTTCTGCGTTTAGGTTTCTGGGTTTAGGTTTCAGGGTTGTGGGTTTTAGGTTTCAGAGGGTCGCAGCCGCTGAATATGCAC